TCAACTGGCATTTAGTCCTCGCAGGGACTCAAAGGGCACAGGAACCCTCCCCTCTCTCAAGACTGGGCAAAAGGGCTCCATAGGGCCAGCTCAATCCACCCACTCCCCGACCTCTCCTGCCATACCAAAGTTTTGAGTCCAGTGGCACCTTTAAGACCAACAAAGTTTTATTCTAGGTATAAGCTTTCCTGTGCATGCACACGTCATCAGATACTGAATCTGAACATATCTGGGAAAGCGTGCATGCACACGAAAGCTTATGCTCAGAATAAAACTTTGTCGGTCCGAAAGGACTCAGGCTTTGTTCTGCTGCTTCAGACCAACAGGACTACCCACCTGAAGCCACCCTGCCGTACCAGATATTGCAGTGACACCCCCCTCTTGCCGCTAGTTAACCACCAATCCCGCCTGCCAGGCACCTGTGCTTTTAGCCAGAGGTCTGATCTACGGGGCTCAGTGAAGGAATCTGTTCCTGAGAACAAAAGGGAAAACCAGCCCCCTGCTGCTCCTTGGCGGAAATCCAGCCCCAGTTTCAGAGGTTGGATCCAGAGCAGGCGGTGCTCCTCGGGAGCAGAGAAGGGGACAGCCTGACGTCCTCCTTGGTAGCCCTGCTCCGCATGCGAGACCCAGAGAGACTCCCTTACAGGGCTGCCCACACAGCTTTTTACCCTTCCAGGCAGCCCCCAGTCCGGATCCAGTCTTGGTCCTTCAGCTCTCCTGCAAGTGTAACCCTGAGTCCATTATGTGCTGAGCTAAAGAGTTGGGGTATTTTGTATAATAAAGAAGAAGAAGAAGAAAGAAGGAAGAAGAAAGAAGAGAGAAGGAAGAAGGAAGAAGAAAGAAGGAAGAAGGAAGAAGAAAGAAGGAAGAAGAAGAGAAGGAGGAGGAGGAGTCGGGTTTATACCCTACCTTTCACTCGGAGTCTCAGAGCGGCTTACAATCTCCTTCCCCTCCTCTCCCCACAACAGACACCCTGTGAGGTACGTGGGGCTGAGAGAGCTCTTCGAGAACAGCTCTTGAGAGAACAGCTTCTGTGAGAACTGGGACTGGCCCAAGGTCACCCAGCTGGCTGCATGTGGCGTAGCGGGGAATCAAACACGGTTCTCCACATTAGAGCCCGCTGCTCTGAACCACTACACCAAAATGGGGGAAAGGCGCAATTTTGGGGACTGGAGGGCATGAGGATGCAAGTAGAAATGTTAAGGAATTTTACATGTTATCGTGAAAGTTACTGTGAACAAAAAAAGGGAAACAAACTTAACCCTGAAACCTAGGATCAAGAACCTAAAAAGGTAATTCAAACTGAGTAGAGGGCTAACAATTAAGACTTAATATATATAATATATAAAAATACGTGTGTTTGTAAAGAATTAAAAAACATATAGGGGCCCAATTACACCTCATATAAAAATTCCAAAATCATACACACAAGGGTCAATGGACTTGACCCTTGGTCTTAAAAGTTACACCATCAAGTAAGATTGAGAGTCTTATAATGGCTTGAAAATTTTTAAGGAAACAACTCTATGGTTACCATAGATTTTTAGCCAAAATGCTGGAGTGTCACTGCATGACGTGCCTGGCGTAATGACATAAAGTCTGTGTGACATCTTTGCACCGATGACGTCGACACGGAGGGGTCTGTTTGGGGATGGGGCTTCACCTGCTGACCAGCTGGCCGGCAGCAGATTGGAGCCTCCAGAATTGGGGAAAACCCCACCCCAACTGGGGTCTGGCAACCCTAATTTCAAAATGGGTAGCCATGTTAGTCTGTTTGTAGCAGCAAAAGAGAGCAAGAGTCCAGTAGCACCTTAAAAACTAAAAACATTTGTGGCAGGGTAGGAGCTTTTGTGAGTCACTTCTAGCCAAATTTTGATAAGTCTTTAAGGTGCTGGTGGACTCTTGCTTTTTTCTATTATCGTAGAAGAAGAGGAGATTGGATCTATACCCCGCCCTTCACTACCCAAAGGAGTCTCAGAGCGGCTTACAGACTCCTTTCCCTTCCCCTCCCCACAACAGACACCCTGTGAGGTAGGTGGGGCTGAGAGTACTCTGACAGAAACTGCTCTTTTTCAAGGACAGCTGTGCCAGAGCTTGTGACTGACCCAAGGTCATCCAGCAGGTGAAAGTGGAGGAGAGGGGAATCAAACCCGGTTCTCCCAGATTAGAGTCCGTGCACTTAACCTCTACACCAAACTGGCTCACGAACTCTCTGGGTTCTTTAATTTAAAAAAATATATTTATTTGATATTGCTCCGTGAATTAAATAGAAGTTATAGAAGCAAAGCAAAAAATCCAAAAAAGCAGGAAGTTGGCGGACTTGCGTGTTTGTTTCCTCCCTTTGTTTGCATCCTGTCTAGGAAATGCAGCTTTGTCTGCTTCTTAACCCTTTGGCACCAGGAGAAGCGGGGAATCGAACTTAGTTCTCCAGATTAGCGTTTGCTGCTCTTAACTACTACACCGTGCTGGCCTTGGAGAAAATGGCTGCTTTGGAAGGTAGACTCCACAACATTATACCCTGCCGAGGCCCCTCCTCCCCACAACCCAGCCCTGCCCAGGGCTCACCTCAAATTTCCAGGAATTTCCCAATGCAGAGTTGTGGCTAGAGATGCCAGCCCCCAGAACTACAGCTTATCGCCAGACGACAGAGACCAATTCCACTGGAGAAAATGGATGCTTTGGAGGTCTTGTACCCCGCTGGGGTCCCTTCCCAGGCTCCAAATCTCTAGGAGTTTCCCATACTGGATCTGACAACCCTACCCCCTCATCCCCTGCGGGTGGCAGGGGGGACCTGGCAACCCTAGTTGTGGCTGCTCAGTGGTGCTGACAAGGAGAGCCAGTTTGGTGTAGTGGTTAAGTGCGCGGACTCTAATCTGGGAGAACCGGGTTTGATTCCCCACTCCTCCGCTTGCACCTGGCTGGATGACCTTGGGCAAGCCAGTAAGGTTTTGTACCAAGTGTATTTTAAATTTTGCTGTACAATTACCTAAGATGTAAGTACTAAGATGTAAGTACTAATGTTCATATGTATTATATCATGTATAAGTTTATAGATTCTTGGTCAGAAGACGTTGTCGAAACGGCATCACATTCCGGAGACCACCGTCCCGCCGTCTTTGTTATCTTCTACAACTGGATTTACAATTTGAGTGTATTAGTATCATTTTTGTAATTTTCATATTTATAATATTATTGCTATTGTTAAAGAAATATTGAGCGCACTTTACACAGTTCTTGTGGCGCTATCTTTTCAAGCCATAGTTCTGACAAGAGCTGTTCTCTCAAAGTTCTCTCAGCCCCACACCTCACAGGGTGTCTGTTGTGGGGAGGGGAAGGGAAAGGAGTCTGTAAGCCGCTCTGAGACTCCGAGTGAAGGGCGGGGTATAAATCCTGTCTCCTCTTCTCTATTCATGCTCAGCGGTATGATCAGCCAGTGGAAAATTTGGTTGAACTTTGGGCCCCTCTTCTAAGGCCAAAGGAGTACAAGGCCAGACCTGAAAGGCCAGGCAACCTTTGCCCCGTGCCTAGGAAAGGCTCTACACCTTCCAAACATCAACAACGAGCCCTTTAACCAAGGCCCAAATGAGTGCCTTGATGGTCTCCGTGTCCAGAAACCCCAAACTGGCAACGAAGATCTCCTAACCCAGGGTCAAGATTTCGTCTGTTGGCTTTTTCCTCCCGTTTGAGGCTCTATCAATAGGGTTGCCAGCTCTGAGTCGGGAAATACTTGGGGATTTTGGAGGTAGAGCCTGGGGAGTGTGGGGTTGGGGAGCGGAGGGACCTCTTCAGGTTACAGTGCCATAGAGTCCACCTTCCAAAGATCAATGGCAATAGTGGGCAATCTCCAGGGGCTACCTGGAGGTTGGCAGCCCTTTCTAAAAAAAAAGGAAGCCATGGTCCTCAGCAGGGGTCATTTCGTAGAAAAAGAGGTGGAAGAGCTCATTAGCATAGCTCATTAGCATAACTTATTTGCATATGCCACACCCCCTGACATCACCGGAAGTGTGCCAGAGGGCAACGCCCACTGCAACTTACCTGGCTGCTTCATGCTCCTCATGGCCCAGGGCTGCTGGAAGCAGGGGGCGGGGCTTGTTGCATGTGCCCGCCCCCTGGGCTCTTTACTGCCAGCGCTCCGCTCCTGTGCACTCCTGCAGGAAATGACCCCTGGTCCTCAGTTTGCAGGACCTGAGCGAGCCTTTCCTCATAGGGAAGGTGCTCCAACCCTCTAATCGTCTCGGTTGCCCTCCTCTGTACTTTTTCTAGCTCTGCAATGTCATGAGCATGGCCTTCCCGCGTGGAGGAAGCATCCACTGGTATGTTCCCTCCCACCCTGCTTTCAGAAACATACAGAGAGCAGTGTCCACAATTGTGGGGTGGAAGCATATGAATGAATGAATACATCCCCTTGCATAGATGGTCCTATACCCACTCTCCACAAGTTCAGTCAGTTTGCAGAGGGGTTGTGGGCAGAGGGTTTTGGTGTGGATTTGTTCAGAAATGCTAGGGTGTCTAAAGCTCTTCGTTCATGAGGTTTCTCGCCTGTGGATTTCTTGGCGAAAAAGGGATGAGCTGGTCTTGAATCTCCTTCAACACACATAGCAAATCCTTGGTGTTCTTCCTTTTCCCCTTAGGAGGTCTCTTTGATTTCAAGTAATGCTTCTACCATGGCTAAAGCTCTTTTTGCACTCTGAGTGTTTATACAATTGGGTGTCTAAAGCTCTTCATTCATGAGGTTTCTCGCCTGTGGATTTCTTGGCGATGAAAAAGGGATGAGCTGGTCTTCAATCTCCTTTCACACACATAGCAAATCCTTGGTGTTCTTCTTTGATTTCAAGTAATGCTTCTACCATGGCTAAAGCTCTTTTTGCACTCTGAGTGTTTATACAATTTCTCCTTTGTGTGCATCTTTGATGTACAACAAATAGACATGATTTCAACCATGTGAGGATTCTGTGGTTGTCGTTAATGTGTGAAATACAGGAGAAGGTCTTGTCCCAGACTGAGCAGATGTGTGGGTTTTTCTCGTGTGGACTCTCTGATGCCGAAAAAGGTGTGCCTTCTGAAGAAATCTTCTTCCACACTCTGAGCATTCAAATGGTTTCTCCCCTGTGTGACTTCTTTGATGTTGTTCAAGGTGTGCTCTCCTAATGAAGCTCTTTCCACACTCCAAGCATTTATATGGTTTTTCTTCTGAATGAATAATTTCATGGCGTGTAAGGTTTGAGAGAGAACAAAAATCCTTGCCGCACTCGAAACATTTATGTGGTTTTTCCTTTGATTTACTTATTTTGGAGCGTATAAGGTTTGAGAGAGAACTAAAACCCTTGCTGCTCTCTGAACATTTATGTGGTTTTTCCCCTGTGTGCATTCTTTGATGGATAACCAGCTTACCCCTTTGACGGAAGAACTTTCCACACTCCAAACATTTATGCAGTTTCTCCCCTGTATGGATTCTTTGATGTCTTAGGAACTCTGTTCTGTGAAGAAAGCTCTTCCCACACTCCGAGCACTCATGTGGCATTTTTCCACTGTGCATTTGCATATGTATATTATACTGAGTTTGGTTTAAAAAGTTCATTTCACACATGGAGCATTTATATGGTTCTGTCCCCACATGAATTATGCCACAGAAATCCCCACTTTGTAAAGGAATGGAATCATCCATCTTCTCCACTGCACGGCTTTCCTCCTGTGTCTTGGGTCCGCCTCGATTCCTGAAGTTTCCTTTAAACTCTTCGTTCTTGACTTTATCTGGTGATAGCTGATGCAGTTCCTCATCTTCCTCATCCTCTTGATCATCCCCTGTGGGAATAAAGAGAGAGATCTCATTAGCATCCACGCAAAGAGGTCTGATCTCCACTTGAAGTTCTTTCCATGCCCAAAATATTTCAGTGGCTTCTTCCTGCTATACATTGACATGTACATTAATGGACATTTTAAATATACATTGAAACCTGCTGCATCAGAGAAGATCATTCCATCCTCTTTAGTATTTTATACAGCTCCTCCTCACCTGAGTGAATTCGTAGATGTGAAATAAGGGCTGTTTTCCAACTGAAGCTCTTTCCACACTCTGCACAGTTATATTGTTTCTCTCTCAAGCGAATTTCCTCATGTGAAACAATGTCCATGCTCTGACTGATGCTCTGTCCAAACGCCACACTTCCATTTAGTTTTTCCTTGATGTGGATTCTCTCATGAGCACTGAGGCCTTGGTTCTGACAGTGTTGGGTTGGCTTTTCTTCTTGGTTTTCGATTTCCAGGAATTCTTCTTCTTGGCAAGGAATGGGTTTATCACTACTTTCAACGATGTCATTTTTCACCTGGTTTGGGGGTTCTACTTGATTCCTGAAGCTCCCTTCAGTCTCGCCATCCTTGGGTTTTTCTAATAACCAGCTCTGTTGTCCCATATCATCAGCATTCTCCTGTATATGATCTACTAAAATAACAAGAGAGATCTCATTACCACTAGATACCGATAAACCAAGTCTCAAATTTGCCATTCTGAACTGATGTATTTATATCTTGATTTATGTCTCCTCCTGCCCCCCCTCCCAGTCAATAGGTGGTCACACTTTTCCCCCAGTCAGACTCTACAACAGAACCATTTTTTCTTTTGCCTTTCACCCCCTCCCCCAAATCCCCCATATGCACTTGAAGGACAAGAGGAGTTAACGATTTTTTCCTCCATCCTCACAATGGACAGGTTTGCTGCGAGGGATGGGACGGGGCCTGAGCAAATGATTCTCACAGTTCAAAGGGAACCTTCACACTTCTCTGTTTTCTTTTACTAAGCAGAAATTATTGAAACGTTACTGTTGATCACAAGAAACATGGGGTGGTCACAGAATGTTCTCAAACATCCCAACCATGAAGGAGCAGGCTTCCCCTCCAAGCGTAACACAAGAGGCAGGAGATAGCTGCCCTGTGAAATCTCTGTAGCTAATAGCCATCCTCTCTTCATGCAACCTCCACGGTCAGGGGCAGAATGCCAATGAATGCCTGTTTACTGAAGGGGGGAGGGCAAAAAATAGGCAGGTCCCAATCCCTTTGTGATCACTGGGAGTGTGTGTGTGCGCTTCCTGGAGGCATCTAACAGGCCACCCACCATCGGAAAGAGTCAGATGAGCCTTGGGTCTCATTCAGCGGGATTCTTCTAACATCTTTAATTTGGGGAGTGTTTTTGCATTTAATTCTTCCACTCTAGCCTGAGCAGCCCTTGAAGGGACAGAAGGACCCACCGTTGAGCTCAGCCCTAGAAGGAGCTTCCAAGACTTCCCGATCTCAGGCCCCAGAAGGCCAGCCTCCCTCTTTACCCCGCAAGATGGCCTCTCCGTCCTCCTCTTCCTTGATGTCCATCGGGAGCTGCCTCCACTCGCTCTTGGACAGAGCCCGGCCTGCCTCCTCCAAGGGCACCTGGAACAGCAGAGAGGGACGCTTTCAGGGTACAGTGAAAGAGCTGGGACGAGTTCTGTCCTCTGCCTTAAACTTAGCAGCTACATTGGTATGTACCAGGCAGAACTCAGGATGCAGTCCCAGACTGAGAGGCGGTGTCGCCTTCCTCCAATTCAGATGGACTGAATTTCCACAGAAAGGAGACAACAGACCAGCCCATCAATCCCACGCGTTCCCCTTCTCCCCACTGAGATGGAGGGAGGTCTCATTCCTGGCTCTACCCCAGGTCCTCCTGCCTTCAGGGCCCACAGAACAAAAGGGCCTCACCTGCTTCTCCTGCCTCAAGAGGAACTCCTCGGCCAGGGCCACCGCCTGGGAGCAGCTCTCGGGGCCGCTCTCCCTCACCCGGTTCTGGATCTCCGGGGGAAGGACGCTCAGCAGCTGCTCCAGGATCAAGAGCTCCAGGATCTGCTCCTTGCTGTGATTCTCCACTCTCAGCCACCCGCGGCACATTTCCCGCAGTCGGCTGTAAGCCCCCTGTGGCCCCTCAGCCTCCTGGTAGCAGAAACCCCGGAATTCTTGACGCTGCTTCTCCCGGCTCAGGGCTTCCCCTCGCAAGATGGCTGCCTTCACCTTCCCATAATCCTCTCTGTCACTGACATCCAGATGGTTCAAGGCCTTCTCAGCTTCTCCACTGAGGGCCGGCAGGAGTCGAATCCCCCATTCTTCTTTGGGCCACCAACAGGCTTCAGCCACTTGCTCGAAGGAGGCCAGAAAGGCCTTGGCATCCTCCCAGGGTGAAGGTTTCTCTGGCAAGGGGGGGATTCCCCATCCAAACTGAGGGTTCTCCAACGTCCTGAGGAATTCCTGCCACTGGGCTTCCCACTGCGTAAGGGAACCACCCCCTGAGTGTTGATTCATCAGATCTCCTAGTCTCCTTTCCAGGAATCCATTCATATTTCCAGCCTGGAGGACATGAGGAGTTTTTCTTCTTTCCTGTAATACTTCCTCTGTTTTGGGGGCTGAAAGGTCTTGCTTCTCCATTTTTATCTTTGAATGATCCCTCAGTTATGTTGCTGGATGGCAGAAAACTCTGGGATATTTATTGTCTTCCAGACTTGGCTTCTTCCTGGAGACAAGAAGGAAATGGTAAAGACAGGAGTGGTCAAGTTCCGGTACAATTAGGGTTGGCAGGTGCCCACTGGCCACTGGTGGGGGATATGGTTGCCAGACCCAGGTTGGGGAAGTCCTGGAGATTTGGGGAGGACAGGGATTTCAATGGGGTACAGTGCCATAGAGTCCACTCTCCAAAGCATCCACTTTCTCCAGGGGAACTGGTCTCTGTTGTCTGGAGATGAGCTGTAATTCCTGGGGATCTCCTGGTCCCACCTGGAGGCTGGCATCCCTAGGTACAATGTTTCCTCCTGATTTTCCTACATGTATATAAACAAATTATATGAAAAAAACTGTATTAGTGTGAATTTGAACGTCTACAGTTTTATTAAATGCTAACACTGTGATTTATTTTTTTAAAAATTTTCAAAATTCAACCCAGGGAGCTTGGAAACTCACCTCCCCCTGTCAAGATCAAAAGGTGAGAACCTAAGAATTCCTGTAACAGAAAGAAGACTGCCCTTCTGTGTCCTGTCTAGGAAATCCCACTCTTT